AGTATAAAAGGTGGAGGAAGGGAATCTATTGTGTGTGTGTGTTTGTGTGTGTGTGTGTGTGTGTGTGTGTGTGTGCGTGTGTGTTTGGGAAAGGTTGGGGGCAGATTTTTTTTTAATAGAGGAAGAGAAAGTGAAAAGGGGAGACAGCAATAAAAGAAGAGAAGGAGAAGGAAGAGAGGAGAGAAAGTAACTGTGGAGACAAAGCCATGACAGGCTGCAGCCCTCCAGAGGTCAGAGGTAGAGGAGCTTGTGGCTTTCACAGGGTGCCTTTGAAGGGGGAGGAGAGAGAGTCCAGCCCCACACTCTGCAACCTGCCACAGGTGCCAGCCTCATCCATTAAAGAGTGCACCTTCTTCCAAGACCCATAACAAGAGCCTAGAGCAGTAAGGATTTCAGGATTTTGAAAACACTCCGGGTTCTCGCAGCCTCCACAGGGGTTCTCCCTAAGCCATGTCCAGGTAGGTGGTATCATAGTTATGAGAGATTTACTTGCCTGAAGGCTTGGATCTTTCTACCCAAAGTTTTTGTAAGTTTTTTGCCTTGTTCATCATTTCATAAATTTCCTCAGCCAGGTCCTGTATCTCTTTTTAAAAAGTCAGGTTGTTGACCTTCTTGTGGTCAGCTGCAGATTGGGACCTAGACAAACTTTAAATAAATAAAATAAATAGCACAGTGGAAGTCTTTTACAAGAATAAGTTTCCTCAGCATTCTTGAGGTTCTTGATACCAAATTGTTTTCAAATAAATTTGTTCCAATGTATACTCCCAACTACTACCCTTGAGAGCCCATTTTACTTGCCTCTCATCCAAAAACTATCATTTAAAAAGATCTTTGCAAATTTAAAATTAGAAAGCTGTTCTCATCTTTTTATTATCTGTAAAGCTCAACCAGTTTATATGTTTATTAGCCATTTCATTATTTTTTTTTTTATTCAACTTATTACACAGCATGCCCTTTGCAAGGTTAGGGAACAGAACAGACACAATCTCTGCATAAGGAGGAGACAGAGATAATTATGGGTGGAGATAAATGCTGTGAGATAAGGATGAATAGAAAAGTCTGTCATAGAGAGGATGCTTATAGCAGGCCTCTGAGAGAAGACAATGTTCAGGTAATACCTGAAAAATGAAACAGCCCAGCAACGGGAGGAACTGGGGAGTGTGTTTTCAGCAGAGAGAGCACATGCAAAGGCCCAGTGGCAGGAAGGGGCTGAAGCACAGTGTGTTGTGGGGGAGGATGGTGCAAGGAATGGGGAAGAGTATTACATAAACTGATGGACCGGATGACATTGAACCAGACCAGTCACAGGAAGGGCTTTGCTCAGCACCAAGAGGAGTGGGGAGTGTGGGGGAGGATGGTGCAAGGAATGGGGAAGAGTATTACATAAACTGATGGACCAGATGACATTGAACCAGACCAGTCACAGGAAGGGCTTTGCTCAGCACCAAGAGGAGTGGGGAGCATTGGTTTCACCAAGGATGACACGGTCTGATTTCAATTCTAAAAGAGACTTCTCTCAGTGTTCAAAAATCAATTAACATCGTCCATTACATCAACAGGCTAAAAAAGAAAAATCACATAATCATAACAACAGATGCATAAAAAGCATTTGACAAAATCCAACACCCACTCATGATAAAAAACTCTGTAAATGAGGAACAGAGGACAACTTCCTCAGCTTGATAAAGAATATCTACAAAATCCTGATAGCTTACATAATACTTAATGGTGAAAACCTCGAAGCTTTCCCACTAATAAGATTTGGAATGAGGCAAGGATGTCCCCTATCACTACTCCTTTTCAACATTATACTAGAGGTGATAGCCAATGCAATAAGATAATAAAAGGAAATAAAAAGGTATACAGATTGGGAAGGAGGAAATAAACCAGCTTTGTTCACAGATGACATAAATGTCTATGTAGAAAATTGACAAAAAAAATAATAACCTCCTGGAACAGGTAAGCATTTATAACAAGTTTGCAGATACATGCCAGCAATGAACACTTGGAATTTGAAATTAAAAGAGCCTTCTGGCTGCAGAGTGAAGAAAGGATCCAGGAAAACAAGAGTGGAAAAGGAGTTACCAGTTAAAAGGAGGTTTAGGAGAAAGAAGGAAGCAGACAGATTCAAGGTCCACTTTGGAGATGAACTGACAGGTCCTTTAATGAATTGGATACGGGGTATATTAATCACGTCTCTTATTTTCTGTATTTCTGATGCTGTGGTATCTTGGTAACTTGCTGGTCCTGGAGGAACAGCACTTCCCAGAGTTAACCAGTTCCTAGAGACAGTAAACAGCTCACCAGACAGTCATCTCCAAGTCTGCATGTCTTACCACACCTGATTAAAGCAAGAGCCTTTGAGACAGGGAGTCAAGGACTTCCAGGGTACCAGTATGACTAAGCTGTGGATGGTGGCTTCTCCTTATGAGGAGAACAGCTGTGCAGGGTGGAAATACAGGCATTGGTGAGACTTAAATTTGCAATTCTCACTGGACACCCAGGGAGAAAAGCCAGAGAGCCCTTTTTACACGAGTCCAGGGTTCAGAAGGGCAGGCTTCAGTGCATTGGATATTTAAAGCCTTTATCCATTTTCCTATTGGGGTGTGTACTATCTTCTTAATTTATGTGTATGATTTACTTACGTTTTAAATATAGTATCTCTTTATCACTTCTGTAATAAATATTTTCAACACTTTTTTATTTGCCTTTAAATTTATGTTAGCATTGAGTAATTTTACTCCTTGAAGACAATAACAGACAAAAAACATAAATAAATAATATCTATAAGAGTAATGATGAGCAGAGAAAACTACCAGATATAAATTTCTAAATACAGGAGAATAATTAAATGAATGACAGCATATGTTTTTTAAAGGATTTCTTCCGCTTATAAAAACAGGGCTTCTGGAAATTGATTTGCACAGAGGTGGTCAGACTTGAATGTACTGACAGACCACCTAGGAAACCTGTTAAAAATACTGACTCTTGGGTGTCACCTCACAGTGGCTTCCACTCTCTGGGTCTAGAGGCTGGCCCAGGAATCTGCATTTTAACCTACACCTCCTAGCAATTCTGACACAGATGATCTATAGACTAACATAATGTTGTGGGAAAATGCAGACTCTGTAATTTTGACTAGAAAATGATGATAAAGTTGCCATATTTTTCTTAATTTTATAAATATTAAGGGTTGAAAAAAATTTTTTACTAGTAAACAAGAGAAAACATTCTCATGACCTTGGAAATCAGCACTGTGTACCCTGTCTACATTTAATCTCAAATTCAATGGGAATTTATTTCACTTAGTAAGAAACTACTAATTTGAAATAAAGTAGAAAATTTGTCACAAGTTACCAGAAGCTTGTAAAAGTAACTAAGTGTCTAAATTTAGTATGCAAAAGGAAAAAAAAATATGTTAGACTGAGGGGAAATTTTCCTGATTAGAAATTATAGAACCTTTCAGTTTTTTTAATCCCATGCCTTTATTTTACAAATTAGAGAACACTGTGAAAATGAATTAACAGTTGTCAACATGTAAATCTACCATGAAATAGTAACAAAGCTTGCATGACCAAGAATTACAGCAAAATATCTTCCACAAATATTGTCACTTAATCTCACATCCTATAATGAAGTCGGAGCAGTTTCAACAAACATTTATTGATGAGCAAAATAAATTCAATGATTTTCTGGTCACAGTCCATTTAGAAATGAAGAAATAATGCCCAGAGAATCAAAGTTAATTTGCTAAAAGAAGTGGACTGCTGCAGCGAAGCCACGTCTGGAGCCCAGAGAACCAAGCACTGGTTCAGTGACCTCCTGCAACAGGCAGCTGTTTCAGAAATTTCACCTTTTAAAGGGTGACCTTAAATTCAGTGGGTCAGAATTCCAAAAGCACAACAATGAATCAGTTACTACTTTTCTGTCGAGGCCTCGTATTAAAAGCTAAAAATGACCTCTGAAAGCTGTGAACCATGATCCAAGCTCCCCAGCTCACCCGAACATGAGACTTTCCTACGAAACTAAAGAATTATCAGATTATAGAGTGATGTAATTCAAGATGAGTTTCCCTTGTAATAATGAAATGGTTTTATGTTCTTTTTCTAATTATTACTTCAAGAACACTGCAATTTGTCCTCCAGAACAGATTATGAAATCATTAACAAGAGAAATGTTTATAGCAGAAAAAAAACATAGAAAATCCTTTATTCAGTTTTAATTTGTGCACATGCGCATGTGTGTCTGTGTGTGTGTAAGAGAGTGAGAGAGAGAGGGAGATAGAGAGACTTCCAGAGCACCAGGGAAATCCCAGCACTATAATAGGATATGGGTGAGAGCAACTTCCTCCTTCCTGAATCCAGTTCTTTACTTAGACTTTTATCATGTATGCTTGACCTTGTCAGGGTAGAAAAGGACTTGTAAAGGGATGGGGGTGGGAGGAAACAAAGAAGGTCAGAATGAGGGAGGAAAAGGAAAGTCCACTTAGCAGAGGTAACTGAATTTCTTTCTCAGCCCTCAAACCAGCACTAAGAATCACCCCTTGAAGGGCTAGGACCCAAATGTTGATTCTAGAGACACCCATGAAGTTCCATGAAGGACCTCAGGATGCCAGAAGTGGGAGGTGCCTCAGGCTGATCCCTCAGTTTGCAGATGAGGAAACTGAGACCCAATGAGGGTGTCACTGGAGTCAAAATATTTTTCAAGCAGTGTCACCCTTGGAAAAGCATCTTTAAAATAAGATCATAGTATTACCCACCTAACAGGTTTTGTGTGAGGATCAGCCAGCACCCAGCTCTCTGTAAATGAGAAGGAAGGGCCGTAGCAATACACAGCTAATCTGTGTTGTTACAGAAATTGGTGCTAAAAGAGAAAAATCCACAATTGTGATTGGAGATTTCAGTTCCTTTCTCAATAATCTATAGAATAAGTAAACATAAAATCAGTAAAGATAATTGAACATGAACACCATTCCACCTAACAACAGCAGGAGACAAATAGTCTCTTCAGGTACACATTAAATATTCATCCAAAAAGACCATACATTAGGGCCATAAAACAAGCCTCAACAATTTTAAAGATCATAAACAGTGAATTTCCTGACCACAAAGTATAAATTAGTAGCAAAAAGATTTCAGGAAAATCTTTACATCCTTAGAAATTAAAGATCAGACCTAAAAACAACCCATGGATCAAAGAAGAAACCACATTGGAAATCGGTTAATATTTTTTAATTAATGCAAATTAAAACATATCAAAATTTATAAGATGCAGTAAAGCAGTACTCAAAGAAAAATATACAGCTTTTAATCCTTATATTAGAAAAAGCCTATAATCAATGATCTAAGGTGGAACATACAGAAGGTAGATAGAGAAGAGCACATTAAACTCTAAGTAAAAGAAACAAAGGCATCCAGATAAGAAAAGAAAAAGTAAAACTGCATTTTTAGATTATTTGATCATGTATGTAAAAAATTCTAAAGGATATGTTAAAAAGCCATTACAAAAGATAGTTCATATTAAGAAAAATAAATTTAAAAACAATCTCAAAAAACATGAACTACATTTAACAAAACAGGTATAAAAATGAAAATTACAAGTATTCCTGAGAGAAATTCAAAAAACTTAAATAAATGGATAGATAT